GAGTTTTGGGGACGATCCATTTTCCTTGGTGAAACGCGTCTATAAACGGTTTCATTCTCAAGATTCTCCTCTTTCCTCCTGCATAGTAATCTGTTGCATCTGCTCTCTGTCTCTTGATGCTTTCTTGATGATTTATGGAAAGAGCTGTATACGCGTCATCATCCATCTTGACATTTGCAGCGGTGTAGGTTACAGGAGAATCAATTTCGTTCCGCCATCCAGCTGGTTCGAGTATCGTCTCTCCATCATTCCTGTCATAATTAAGGATGGTCTGTATGAAAGCTTTAAGATGGTACATGTCTACTTGTTCGGTGAGTAAGGTACCATTGGCTCTGAAATTGATTTGCTTGAAGAGGGTGTGTGCAATATTGTTGGCTGGTGAAGTCATCACACCCACATTGTTTGCGCGTGCTGTGAGACTGGCATTTTCTGTGGTTTTGAAACCCAAATCCAGTTGGACAAAACTTCTCGAAAGATCGATGAGATCTGATTGTCGTTCCACGTACACTTGGATAGGAGTAATACTAGATGTCTGAGGTGGTATTTTGACATATCGGTACTTTACCGTAGAAAGATCTGTAGGTGGTATTCTAAAGAGATCTAGACTTGAATTCTGCTCTGCCCCTTTGATAGACATGGTGATGTGTCTGTTTCAACGTCTTCTGCGTTTATGCACACGTTGTCGTGTTCCTATTTTCTTTATACGACTTGTGAGAAATCCTCCTCGTTGCTGTTGTTTTCTTCTTCTCCCTTTATACCTTTTTAAGATGGAAGACACAGGATCTGTCGGTGATGTTGTGCCTACACCAATGATAGGATCACTTTGACGTACGGTGCTGATGCGGACCATGTTTTATTCTCCAAAAATATCGTTCAACCTCTTGGCAACTTTTCTCTTCAATTCGTTCTTGAGCGCTTGGGAAGCCCCTCTCTTTATACCTCGCGGCACTTCTGATAACGAACGCTTTTTGACACTGCTTTTAAGGCCTCCTGTTACACCTTTCAAAAAATCTTTAGCCATGTCTTTGACTCCGGCACCTATTTGAGGATCACCCCAGGATCCGATAAAAGGTGGTGGGGCATAAGGTGAGGGGGTCTGCCAGCGCATGAGACCACCACCTCCTTGTTCATTTGGCACATACACTTTAAAGCGTCTCAAACTTCCTCCTCTCATGATGCGATCACCACAAACACACAATTCACTTTAAATCTTTTTTATTAATCCAACTGTTATATTTGCTAGGGTACCCTTTCCACTTGACAAACAATTTATCCTTTTGTCTCTTTAATACTTTTTCCACTCGAAAATAAGTCGCTTCATCTACATGTACTTTTTGCAAATCCCACACATAAAATGTGCCTTGTAAGGGCGTGTCATCCAATTCTTGCACTTTATAGGTCGTTACCATTCCGGGTACGACTTTACGAACTTGAAACACTTCTTCCGTCCATCCTGGTAGATACCCTTTCTTAAACGGTCTAAATTTTTTATTCAATCGGACTTTATCGCCTACTTTAAATGCAGGCTTTTTTTCTTTCTTAGTCTGATATTTCCCATACAAATTGTTCCACACTTCTTTGGCATTGAATGTGGTGACTTTAGCTGGTGTGGTTTTAATACTCCTGTGATAGGTGCGATTGTATTGATTGACAAGTTTGGGCAATATGTCTACATATTTGAGTGTGTTGGCAGCCGTGAAATAGCGATACAATTTCGATTTAAGGGTTCTATTAAATCGTTCGACGATACTGGCTTTGGCATCTCCATGAGTAGAAAAGTGATGAATCTCCTGTGTTTTCATCAATGATTGAAAGGTCTGATTGTAAAATTCTTTGCCTGCATCTGTCTGTAACGTCTGAGGTTTCCTTCCTTTGGCTTCCTTGAGTATTTTTGCAAACGCATCCGTCACATCTTTTCCTGTTTTCTTTTTAATCGGCCGGGCCCACGCGTATTTGGAAAAGGCATCGATCACGACCAATACGTATCGGTATCCCTTGTTCTGTTTGGATAGGGTCTGTACTTCGATCAAATCTGCTACCCATTGTTGATCAATGTCGAACACCACCACAGGTAAAAATTCTCCTCGTCGACGTCTGGGTTTGTGAAGCGTGTACGCCAATTTTTTCTCTAATTCTTTTTTACCTTGAGCAATAGAGATCTTTTGAGCTTTGGCATACGGTGCCACACCACCCAAACTACCGACGACACCGGGTTCGTCATACAAGTCGTCCTTGACATCTTTCTTAATGTTCTTAACCATGATAAATGACACCAAAGTTTGAAACAATGATAGGTGACCCAATACTTATGAAGGTACTGCGTATACAATTGATTCCACGTCTTATATGTATACTTCCCATCATAGTATCTCATAAACGTCATCAAATGAAAGATACGGTCGTGTAGTGGATGTAGGTGTGGTTTCACGACAAATTTAAACACCTCAACTTCCATGTCTTCGGGAACCCAATGGTAAGGGATTTTATGCGGCTCATCCTCTTCGAAGACGATATGTGGGATGCGATCACAAAGCCACGACACCACTCGATAATGCAAGTAGCATAGCCATTGACTCCACGAGGTAAGCATGATGAACTGGTGATTTTTTTTCATCGCCGACCCTTTTTATAATGCCTGACATTATCCATAATGCCTTTTAAAGCCTGTTTTCCCAGAAATTTACCAAGTGTTCCAAAACCTGGTGCAGGACCCGATAACAACATACTTGCTGCGTAAGCTAATTTATCGGTAAGAGAGGGACCTCTACGAAGAATTTTCTTAACCCTACTCACAGAAGCACCCCCACGTTGATTGCGTTTTCTTCTTTTAATCAGTGACCGTCTTACACGCCTCATGATTGACACAGACAAATGACACAGTGTTTTCGGTGATACAACTTTTATTTATTTATCCATATTATCTTCTAAAAACTGTACATGATGATTAATACATTCTAAGTCTTTATCCGACAATCCTAAGCGTCTAGCTAATTTTCTAAACTTAGGCATACCGATCAACCAAGCGATTTCAACATGATCGTCCATAGACAATGTATCTAGCTTTGTGTTTCTACCCATCAACCGTGCGATTTCAAGATGGTCTGTACTTATCCCATCTACAAAAAAATTAACAAAACTTGGAATTACAACTAAAAAACATGTGTATTTTTACATCTGGTGAAAGAAAAGTTTGAATGAACACTATGCCTAAAAAATTAATACATTTGACTCTTATTACTTTCTTTGAGGTAAAGGAAAAAGGGCTTCTAATAAATCAGCAAATGTCATCTTGACATCTAGTCCTGAAATGAATCATTCACATCCATCCGTAAGAATTTGCACTGACCTCTTGTTGGGTTTAAATCGCCACCAGGTAAAAAGATCACAGTTATGTCGACTGCATCGCAAATACATTTTGCCATAATTTGTTTCTGATTGAGTCAAAGACAATGTGGGAGTCATTCCACATTCGCACACCATCTTGTCAATTCTGTCCAGGGTGAACCAGGGGTGACCCTGTCTTTGACATTCATAGTAATAACGGTTGTAATCACTGAGATTACAAAATACTGGGCAACGGGCGGACGAGCAACGGAGGAATACATCGTCACAATCTTCTTTTTTAGATTTTAATTCCTCCATCATAGTCTGGTGGATGGGACATGGATAACTGACTTCCACACTGTCCAACAATTCTTCCAGAGAAGAATAATGAAACGTACCTGTACCTTCTACGCCAGGTACGATTTCTCCTTCTTCCAATACTTCAGTCTTCTCCAGGGTTGATGGGTCATTATGAACACTTTCCACCAGCTGGTTCAACTCTTTCAGAGGAGATGTTTGCTTAGATGACTTGACTTCTGGTTTCATATAATCCACCTCGAACTTGGGTAGTTTCACATCTTTAGCAACAAAGTCTGGGTTCTTCATAGGCAGTGCATCTATAACGAGACTACCTTTCAACTTGTTCTTAGCCCATTCTTTCTTATTCTTCAAAGTCTCTTTCTTGGCATAAGGGTGAACCCTCTTTGATGTCTTCTTAGTCTTGTTATCTTCCATCTTGCTTTCTTGATGCTTGCTTTACACTCTGCGAGTAAGAAATGTGATTTGACTGCTACAACGACTCCACTTTTATATGGAAAATATATGATCTTGATTGACAGGTCCCTCTTGGGAGATTGGGCAAGTTTGGGCTGAATCTTTTAGACTTAAATTTCGTAATCTTTTTGTAATCTCTTCCACACGTTTCTCTACATACGCTTTTCTTATGTTCCTAATCTTGACATTCCATGCCGCTTCTTCCATAATTTCTTTATATTTGATACACGATTTACATGTTTTGCATGTACACGTAAAATCGTTGGGATATTGAAAAACAGGCATGTTTATGACTCCTTCTACTTACAACGACGTCACTTTAAATAATAAATCCTAACCCAGAGAGATTCGGACAGCCTTAAGCAATACTAGACAACACTTGAGCAAGTCCTAAGTTTAGACCGTATGTTCTCTTGGGATTTAGCTTGGTTGGGCAAGTCTGGGCAGATGAGGTCACACGTAACATTTTGTGACGTCTTACACCACATAAATACCAGCCATAGGACATTTCGTGACATTCATACCACATAGGGACTGGCTCTAAAGCATTGCGCATGCGTACATTTTTAATCAGAAGATTGCACATGCGCATCACACAAATAGGTATCCCACATGGATGATTTTACGCTACCGTTCCATATATAAATCACACCGACCTTTATCTCTAATAACAAAGATGGCCGACATGGACACTCGCTCATTAATTAATCAATTTTTACCCTCGTGTACCTACACGTCATGAATATAATTATCTAATAACCCTAACACGTGTACCTACATGGCATGAATAAATTATTACTCAAACTCGGACCCAGGCCGCGCGGGAATTGCTAGTCAGACGCGCTATACTACTCAAAGCAATCCTAAAAAAGTTTCTACACTTAGTTGAAAATTACCCTATCAGTAATCTAAGAATCATTAAAAATATTATAAAACAGTTTCTCTCTCAACCACAAGAAGTTCCTTGCTTATTCTTAAAGCACAGAGAAGCTTGCAAAGTTTATTGGTGACAATGTGCTTCTCTTCCAGCATTGGCTGTGATTCTGTATCTTTCTAAACGGACGGAGTCAGGTGCCGTTTCGGCTTCAGAGACACCCAACGAATAGTCGTTTTTAAATCCCAATTGCCTTCCTGCTATAGACTGCTTTCGAATCATGTAGTTCACCCCAAAAATTAAGAGAGAAGAAAATAATGCCACAGAACCGGCAATGTAAAATGCTTCATCATAGGAACCGAATGCTTCATGCAGCCAACCTGAAAACAAAGTGCAAACGTCGGGTTAGTCTCGACCCTTTTCATTTGAACGGCTGTATCGAATCAGTCTTAGCAACAGAAACAAAGATAAAGAACTCGGTTTGCTTTGCATCTAATTAACTGAGAGGGTGGAGCGAATTCTCTAGATCAATTACGGACCCTATAAGAGCAATCCCGGATTACACTCGACATTTGTTTGAAAATTTCACTATCTTTTACACAGCTGATCACCTGCAAGCAGAGGTCCAAGACTCAGTGGTATCGCCAGAGTTCCAAACATGTTTCCCACTGCTTGAGAAAGCTTATCGTGTCCGACCACATCAGCCGTAATCACCGCCACTTGGCCCACAAAACAGCCGTCAAAAAATCCAAATGTCAGAGCATAACCCACAAGTCCTGCATAGTTTTTGACCAGAGGACACAAGAGAGTGCTCAATCCAATGGAAAATATCGAAAATTGGTACAGGTAGAGTCTGTTGACGAATTTAAGGTCGGAAATCTTGCCAAATACCACTCGACCAAGCGTTGAGGTGATGGATAGAAAACCAATCAGCCAAGCGCCTTTAGATTTTGGTACTCCTAAATCTTCGGCATACTTCACCTGCAGATAATAACGAGACGAATAAAGGTGATAAGATTCTACAAAAAACTCTGCTGCCGCGTCGGTGGAGGGCATTTTAAAATAATTTGGTTCACTCAACTGGGTTGATAATGAAAACTGTCCACCGAAAAGAGCCTCAAAGGCTGGAGTTTCGAGTGGTGGCCCTTAATTCTTCATAAGGTCTACGCTTTTAACATCAGCTTTAAAAATTATCCACCTAACTTATCTTGAAACGATGATTTTCTTACGAGATCCCGAACGGCAGTCTATAACCTATTTATGCATTTGTCGCTGACCAATCATCAGGGATGAGAAGTTTTGTTGAGTATTAAACAAATACATATACAACTTACCAGGTGAATAAATGGAATGAGATAACTAAATTGAAACACAGCTACAGTAGTGACCCACAAAACATACGCTTTACTCTTCCATATTGAAGTATCAAATAACTTGGTACATTCTCTTCTTTCCCTGGTAGATTGAAGATTTTTCCTTGGTATAAAGATCATAGCTGCAATACATAACAGTCCAGCAAACGCGCTCAAAATGCGCATGGAGCGTTTCCATCCGACTGATGCCAATAGGTAATTTATGACCGGCCCGGCAACAAGAGAGCCTACCCCACTTCCGGATGTTGCAATCCCATTGGCAAGCGCCAATCTTCTATCAAAGTATTGACCCAGGACAACGATAGACGACACAAAGGAGAAACTAGAACCTACTCCCCATACAAGCCCGTAGGTAACATACATTATATGAACTTTCTGTATGAAGGAAGTTAGGAACAACCCTGAGATCGATAGTAACGCACCAGCGAAGGACACAACGAGGCATCCAAAACGATCACACAATGCACTTGATATAGGACCAAAAAAGAAGTTTAAACCCATGGCCATGGCGCCAATCCAAGCTATGGAAAGAAATAAAAAGCATAATCTTAATGTGTGAAGAAATATGTTATTGTTTTTGTCACGGGCGTGAAGCGGAGGGAATTTTTGTGTTCTCCCACGCTGAATCGATCCGAGACCTTACGCATACCATCATCCAAATGCATCACACTCGAAAAGCATTTCATGTAAATGCTATGTATCTTTGCCCCTAAAATCTTCACGTTCTTATCCTTATAAGGATTTTACTCTGCACTGGACAAGAATTGGAGGAATACTATATACAGGATATCAAGGAATAAGTAAAATAAGAGCCTCGAAGGGAAAGGCGCGAACAGAACGCTAAGACCCATGGGAACTAACACCCAAGGAAATTGAGGAGTCTACCCTCTTTCATCCTTTCACCCCCAAGATTTAAAAGACAAATCTCCTCATTGTTAACCTTCCATTTCTTGTACATGCAATTTTATAGCTCTGAGAAATCGGTTCTTCATCAATACAACATATCCCATAGTTGATATTTTTGTAGCCTCTCCAAAACTTTCTACGTGTACGTGTTGATATTGTTAGAAGATGTTTATTCTTTAGCTGCCTGGGAATGAAAGGTTAACTGTCATATTTCTTATCTGTCTCAATCCCTTTGAATGCAATCGGCACCAAACGACAAAAAAAAAAACGACTTTTCCTCTTCATGACGAAGTTAGCCTTGCTCATAATGCTTTGAACTCTTTTGAAAAGTGATCTGTTTGTTCGTGAAAAGGGAAGGTATTTACTTGCGCTGCTTCGCAAGTGAGATGCAGCGGTTCTGGTTGGCTACTTAAACAGGCTACAAGGACTCATCTTGCCAGCCAAGGCTTGCTCACTTTGTTCTTGACAACAAAACAGAGAATAATGAATACCTTTAGCTTTGTGAAAGTCTTCATAACGTCCAATGTTTATTTTAAGAAGTTGAAGAAAAAATATGCGGCAACGACTGTTTTTACATCCATGTAGTTGTCAAAAAACAGAGATCATATTTTTGAAGAAAAAAAAAGACGAGTTACGTGATTTTTGAGCAAATAATTTCCCTTTGGGGCTTATAGTTAAATCGGTGAGAAAACGATAGGACATTATTTTCCTGGCCTTGGTTAGTCTTGCGTGAATAAGCATGCACTGTCAAGATGCCGCTGCTAATGTTTTTTTTAAACTCTTGTTTTGAGAACCTCACGTTGGGTCAATAAAGCCTTAATTGAAAAATTCTGAAACAGGCCAATCCGCTCTCTACCGGCACTGACATTCCGGCATCAGAGTTTTGCAACCTGGTTCACAAATTCTACAGTTTCAGTATTAGTCAATGTGTGGCTTTGAAAACTTCTGCCAAACGTGCTGTCAACCCTGACGCCACTATGATAAACAAATTATTGTCGCCCTTCTATAATTTGTCCATACTTGAGGCGCCACGAGATCATGTAACTCTTTTACCCAAAACAAAACGTATTTTGTGTTGCATCAGAAAAGAAGAGAAAGTTATCATAAATCAATGTTCTATCCTCTCTGATCCAACCGAAAAAGATTCCAAATGAAGTGAGCCAATGTACAGTATTCCAACGTTTCCAAACTTAAGTTAGAGAAAAGTTACTACCTGTAATAGCCGAGCAAGAGGTGAAATAACAAACAACAACTGTTGATCGTGTTTAGAGAGAAGAAAAGATGCTGCCTGTTAATGGCACACCGTGGGGAAGTAAAAACAGACTAGAAATTGGGATGATTTCGAAGCAAATCAGAGATTTTTTAAATTGTAAAGTACCAACTAACGTGCGAAGTGGAAGATCAGAGAAACTTTGCCTGTAATCAGTGATGCAGACAAAATGTGAAATATGTGGTACAGAAGCCACTTTCCGGTTGCTTCGCTAACTGGTAGCTTAACACTAAAAAGATGATGACAAACAGCAAAGGAACAGCTTGTTCCCGCTGAAATTGATTTCCACCCTTTTCGGATATAAATTATTGGCGAGAAATTATTATGTGAAAAACGGAAATGAAACTTCAGCTCAAAGGGAAATAGTAAAATTCTTATGTATACTGCGTGAGCCAAGATATCACATTAACTATATAATGTAACTTATATAGAGGATATTACATGGCCGCGCGGGGGATACGAATTTTATGTTCGAGTGCTGAAACTCACAAGTGAGCGAAGCGTATCCCTAAGCGGCAATAATATAATATTCTGTTTATTTTATAGATACTGATGAAATTCCTACAGAAAAGACAACTTTTTTTTTTTTCGGCCTAAATGTTCAATACAAAGATATTTTCTTCGTTAGCCTCAGATACACCACTGATAATGTCCGTAGCCACAATGCTGTTGGCTTAATCATGGAATGAGATATGTTAGGTAAATAACGTTGATTAACACGATTAATCGGTCGGTAAACAGAAAATCAATAGGACAAAACACAACAAAAGAATAAAAATTCAAAAAGGAGATATAAAGGTAAACTGGCATTCTTGTAACCCCAGTGAGCAGTTTTTTCAAGAAATTTGATTTTACGTAATGGCATCAGTTTCAGATGGTCGATCGTTTACCGCATAACTAATTACGTCTCGCTGCGTGACGTAAGTATCTAACAAATGCAAAAATAATGCCATTCCGAGAGGGAAGACAAAATTTGTTAAGAGAGGATGTCAGCATCCATCGAACAAATTTGAAATATTGTGGCAAGTCGCCCAAGATTCGTTTTCTCCCCTACTTTCGTACTTTGTAGCCCAATATGTCCTAATAATTGTGGTGTAGTTTTTTTGTGAAAATATATTTTAGTTTTCGAGAAATTATTTTTTTCGTTCGACCGCTCAAATATGCAAATTTTCATCGTGAATTTTCCCGAGTTGTGTGACCTCATGTAACGAATTTACTTGACCTCTGGTATTTCTGTCAACATAATCTTAATCCCCTGTCATTATTGAAGCTGGAAAATAAAAATTTATTTTTTGGTGAATATTTTTGTTCGACATGCTTTTTCTATGTCGAAAAGTAGCATCAAAACAAAGACAGTTTTAACAATGACCGATACGACAGAATCTACTGAGCTTCTAGCTTTTAAAAGACAAAGGATGGTTATAAAGTTATTGTAAAAATTTCCTTGTGTATTTGTGTCGTTCTAACGTGAGATGAACTCAAAGTCCGGCAAAATTTACTTGCTAGCGACTATGAAATACACATCTAGTGCCTATTTGTCGCCACCGTTTACTGGCACAAATCGCGACAATTTGTAAAAAAATCTAGCATAATACTCTTACCTCATTTATTTACGATTTTATGAGCTGTTTCGAGGATCAAGTTATGCTCTACCACATTTTAGCCAGATTTAATTTGCAGTTTATAAACTTCTCTCCATCATTATATCAGTTGCATGACAAGCGTGACACAAAAATTCAAAGATGGATCAACCTCCGAATTACCAAGAGATGGGTTTTTTTTCCCTCTTTGCATATCTATGAAAACCTTCCAAGAATTACTGCATTCAAAAAACTACATGTCCAGATCCATCAATGATTCCTTTGCCGGTGGAAGTCAAAGAATGTTCACAAAAGTCAATTCGATTGACAAGCTACATACTGATTTAGCTATTTGATCTGTTGTATAAGCGTTTCATCTTACATACTAACAAGTTTTGCTGACAAAACTTTTTTCTCTTCACCGAAAATCACATCAAATTTTGTCCTTGCTAAATTTCAAGTGTGCTGCACGTATCAGCACCCCCCGAGGAACCCCTATACATAAGAGGGCGAGGGTGCGCGCCGGGAATTTCGAAAATGACCCATGTAAAATTATAAAAGGTACCTGAGTCTTATCTGTGTGGGAGTGGCAACAAATGATGTTTACCCCTAAAAAGTACCAATTTATAAAAAAAAAAGGAAAAATCCTAAAAATAAAAACTCCTTTATAGATATGCTCCAGAGGCTCAAGTCAGATCATTAAAATCGTCCTAGTAATGATTATTTCAGTTATTTTATTGAGCGAAAAACATCCTAAAAGGTACCAGCTAGGTCTCTGGTAGTCCACTAAAGTTTGAGACATCGTAAAAGGTACCAGATCACTGAGTTTGACCCCTGAAAGGTACGACAAGCATCTTCACTCATATCCGATCGCCTGATGACTCGTTTCGAATAATTTTATTTTGCTATCATGTGGCGATCGGGATGAACTCGTTCTTGAACAAAACTCATTCCTATATGATGTAAAAAGCCCCTAAGAGTTTTTATTCCCAGAGCATCACGCTTTGCTCTCCCGCCAGAACACTGTAAAATTCAATATGCGCTGCTACTGAAACAACGATTACCGTATGTTTTCACCTATAAGCCGAGCGATTTTTCAGTATTTGACAAAAAAGTTTGGGAAATTTTTTCACAAGAAACGGGCTTCTGCTTATAGCCGAGGGTTTGGAATTCAAAAACAAGTACAAATCAAGTGTTAATGCGAAATGACCGTAAATTCCATGACTGCAGCGCTCTTTACATGACATGCTTTAAAATTGACATGACAACAACGTATTCTGACCACCAATCAGATTCTTTGCTTCCCACCCATTGAAAGACGATCTCACTCAACTCAGCAAAAACTCTTCTCATTTCACATTACAAATGAAATATTTGGTCTCTCTGCCGTAAAAAACACTCCATCGCTTGTTCGTCTAGTTTAGGACACTTGGGAGTGAAACGGCTCATTTTTGCACGTCTTGTAGACATCTCAAGCTTGCCAGAAAGAAGAGTCGCCTGGTCTCGTCTCCAGCGTCGCACCATGGACTCGTTAAGTCCGACCCAGAGGATAGCCCTCCAGCATCACAACTCGAGCCAAGGCACGATCACAATACAATGTAAATACACGTGAAAGATCACGTTCGCCCTTGAGGAACACTGTAAATACTGATGTCGACAGGATAGACAAAAACGAAGCTATCCTCGACGTCAAAACTCACTACAAACCGACTGAGACCTTTCAATATACACACTATTCATCTTGCCACCCGCCAGGTGTTAAGAAAGGCTTTATTAAAGGAGAAGCTATCAGACTTCTAAGAACAAACTCCTCGGAAAGAAATTTCCAGGAGGCCATGTGTAACTTCAAAACGACTTGAAGCACGTGGTTACCCAAAAAGCCTAATTGAAAAAACGTTATCTGAGGTCTCGTTTGCCGCAAGGCAGTCGACCCTTAAAACAACAAAAAAACTAAAGGCAAAATATTGCCTTTTGTGACAGCATACCACCCAGGGGTTAAAAATTTAAAACAAATACTGATGCAAGAATGGAACCTCATCCAAAATCAGCCACTGCTGAAAACAATTTACAAAACGCCTCCGATTATATCATACAAAAGAGGTAAATCGCTCAAAGACATACTCGTCGGAGCAAAGCTTTAATTAAAGGCTTTTGCGTCGCAAACGTAAAACCACACAGGGGAGTCTGTGTAGGCCTGTCTATGACCTTTTCATCAAGTCCAGGATATTACATGACGGAAAAAATACAATCGCATATGACAAGAAGATTGGCCTCTCACCTGTGTTTCCAAAACCTTTGTCAGTTGACTTGCTACAATAGAATTTGGTGACGGTGGCAGTTTCATATTCTCGAAGAATGAACTCTGCTGACCTGACATCCTTCACAATTTACGTGCCATAATAGAATTTGAAATTTTGTTCGGAAAGCGAAATTATCTATTGGAATACGAATTGAGTGAGCAAACAGATACTTTGATATGTCGCACGATAATAAATTTCCCGCCTTTGCGAGTTTGGACCATTCAATTGTCTGGGAGTTAATCGACCGTATCATTTATCTTTCCTCTCCATTTCCGGTGTTTAAAAATCCTCCTTTTGACAGATTTCGTGGAGGTGTTACTATGTTGTGGTTGTAATTGGCCATCCTTGAAAAGGAGGCATCGCAAAAAATTTTGTGGAGTCTGAAATAAAGGTAAGCAACGAAAAAAAAAGGACATATCTTACGCCTGATACGAAGTCATGAGCAAAAACGAAGCACGTGTTCGTTTCTACTCTGTTTTGCGGGTCTAATATGCTGAATGGGGCCTTTAACACGAAGACAACATCGGGCGAGCTCGGATTTCGTAATCAGAAATCGGAGTACGCTTTCCTGGCGCCTGAGCGGGAAGCTCAGGCGCCATAATTATCTTGTAATTGGCTAATCAGGTTAGTAACCATGGCGACACCAATATCATTACACGGGAAAGATAACAAATATTATTGTTTTTTCAGAGGGCACGGTAACGAATCTTGCAATCTGATTGGTTCTTTACCCGGTCAGTATTTTCCTATCTCTGCCCACGGGCCACGGTAACGCTTTCTTGAGTCGCCGAGTACATCACAACTTTCGTTGTCATTTTTCATAAATATACCTCGTTTTCCGGCTGGGCAGTATTTTTAAGCAAACACGTCGGTCACTATCTCAAGCCGATAAATAACTTATGAATCCTCCCTTTTCTCTCTATCAAATCACTTTGGTTGACAGAAAAATATTGGTTTCAGAATGAATTTGTATAAACAATAGTGTCATTACGTTGGTTGACAAGCGGCCTAAAAACCGTCTGCAATTAATTTTAATCGTCCACAAAAAGTACCCAGAAAGTTGAAACGTGAGGTATTTGGTTACAGTTAAACTGAACGATGGAACTTTCATTCATTTAATATCTGAATTTTCTCGAGCAATTTGTTCATAGTAAAAAAAAAGCGAGCGAAGTTTTAATTTAAGTTCTACAACAAATATACGCTCCTGGTGAGTCTTTCCAATTCCGTTCAATTTGGACATTTGTACCTTAAATTGCACAACAAAAATTGAAGGAATTGAGAAAAGGCTGCATTGAATTCCCTTGTGTCTCGTTGGAGTGTGCCGTTCGAATTTAGTTTTTGTGACGGAAAGATCAGAGTTAAACACGCCATTACAGCAAACAAACGAGCAAACTCCCACAACTTCAAAATAAAAAATTGAATTTACTCACTATTACTTTCCTCGCCGTTTACTTAATGAACAGAGGTAAATCTTCGTACATGATTGAATGGTCGATGAGAGTAAATAATACTTTCCGTTAGATCATTAACTGATTTTTAAGAAAACATTGTCGTGACAGTCCTTGCCAAACTAGTTCTGTTGGTTTTCAAATGTTCCTACGATTTTTTTTCTTGCGCGCTCTCTAATTGACAGGTGTCAGATTGTGACAGATACTTGTAAAACTAATGTTTCAAAGTTTGTTTGAAGCCTTTTAAATCACCTTTATCGTTACGGAAATGAAAATGTTTCGCTGAGGAATCTCTCTTAAATTTGCATCACCTCTATTTTAACTACCATTTACTCACTCAAAAATTGTTCAGTTTATGGAAGATCTTGCCGTATTTACGGCCATAAGTCATTCGGGTTCTATCGGAAAGAATTTCGTCAAGTTTAAAAACAATAAATATGTTATTTACCGGCTAAGGGTCGGTCCGTATGGTGAAAAACTGTGACCTCGGTCTTGAAAATGCTGCCCTCGGCCTACGGCCTCGGGCAGTATTTTCAAGACCTCGGTCACAGTTTTTCACCATACGGACCTCCCAGCCGGCAAATAACATATATGTATCTTCACCGCACGCGATGGAGATATGATTTTTTAGCAAAAAGAATTATCCTGGTATTTCATCAGTATCTATATAATAAATCCTGAATCTTACTTATAACTAGTCAGTATCAATAGAGAATTCATAAGCCTCAAGCCAAGAGACACTAGTAACCCATCAAAAGTTATGGATCAGTAACTTCTGCATACCGGCACGGGCGCTCAGCTAAATGAACTCTTTGCTTACCTGTTTGCATCGCACCAAGTTTTAACTCATCGAGCAGGTTAACATACACAACACCAAATGAGTTGTGAATTCCAAATACCACAAAATTTACGATGAAAGTCCCACAGCAGACTATCCAGCCATAGCCGCCGTCTCGACTTGTTGACTTCCCTCTAAGTCCATCATCTGCTCGGTTTTCGCTTTCCATTTCTCGATCACAGAAAATTGATTCGCAACCCGAATTCAGCTTGTGAAACTCTTTTTGCTTTGTGTTTCTCAAGATAATATAAAAAAACCAAACCAAACACTTTTGCGAAGATTCTCGGAAAGAATTGTTTGTTCACCAACCGCGCGCGCTAAAATAAGGCGAAACGACAACATGTCACGTACACGAAATACGAGAATGTAGTGGAATGTAATGGAGATTCACTGCCTGTTGCCATTCCTTCGAAAGTTAAAAAGTGTTGGCAGGCCTGCACGACTCCTGCTATTCCTCCGTGACAAATTCGTTGTTAGGAGGCAACTGTAGAGATTCAGAAAGAATCAAAACTGCAGCCTTGCCCAGAATCTATTCATTTGACAGCAGTTACACTCAAAGCCGATGGCTGTGTAAATAATATCAAATTCGCGATTTATTTAACAGGGAATCAACCTTTGACATGCAAACTCATCACAAAGAGACAGCTATTTTCAATGGAACTATGGTGGCTAATGTTGCTTGCCGATATTTTCCGTCGGCAAAACGTAAAGTCTAGTGTGTTTACGTGGCAGTTTCGCCTTCGCATGACAAAAAAAATGAAGAAAGGCCGCTGCCCAGCATCAAAATTTAGACATACAAAGATTCAGTCGAAAAACCAATTAAAATAGTTTTTACGATCGAGTAAAAGCTCCATTAACCAGTAGTGTTTACTATTACAACCACCTCCCACCCCTCCCTACGGAGTAATAGTCCGTCTCTCGCCCCTGCCTGGGTAATAACACTCTGCCTCCCACCCCTCTCTAAATGCTGATAGACTTCATCCCACCCCTCCCTCAGCACTAATGGTGTGCTCCCCCCTTTAAAATGGTGCAAAAAAAATTGTCCAAAACATGGTCCAAGAAATGGTCTAAAAAATAGTCCAGTCCATATTTTACCCTATGCCCAGTTATTCAGTGGTCAAGTGTCTTCTTTTAATGCCCTAATTCAACTGCCCTTCATTCAGTGATCAAGATAGTAGATTTACCATACAACACTCGCGATTAGTTAATTTGCTTCTACTTAGGAAAGTAGATTTACGACACAATTGAGTATACAATAGTAACGCTGTGTAACGCAACAATAGGCCTTTTCTTGGTAATAATCAGTCTCAAATACTAGCACTTAAAATGCGCGAAACACATGTACCGTTGGAGAGCGTTTGAGAACGTTTAGCCAGAGCTGTTGAAGAAGGATCAAAGCGGCGATCCAAATTTTTGAAAGGTTCCAAACTACGACGTACATCAAATCTGAACTTCTCGAAAACTGGTCTCAAATTACATACTAAAAAACAGTGATTGCGTTTGTTCTTGAGAACCATAGAATACGCGACAAATACGTACAAAAAATACTTTTAAATATTCAGAAAAAATCAGGTTATATTTACCTATGGTGAAAGGAAAAAGGAGGGGCCTAACTTTTACAGAATGCTCAGTCAAAGTCTGCCGATTTCTGCCGCTTTCACCGCCATATTGAAAATGAAGCTACCACAATGCAAAGCAATCGGTGTGCGCACACCGCCTGCTACGAAATGAACCTGCCTCAACTTGTGCGTACGTCACGTCCCATGACGTCACGCTAGTTACACGCTGGGTGACTTGAGTCAACCTTTATTCCTTGTTAGCGCAGGTCTTTTACATTTCAATAACTGAAGTAACGTTTTGTAACATGCATTTTTTTGTTAAGTAATTGGTCTGAACTTAGCTTCGTGTTCCTTGACCTTGTCAGGTCACGCGATGTATGTGAAATCATGGTGAAATATCGATGATAGTCACGTAAACAATGCAGTTGTTAACCTTTGCTTCTGAAAATATCCCTGAGCCCCACCGCTGCCACTAAACTATAAAACACGCACGTCTCCATGATATATGACATTTAATAAACTATAGCTTCCATAAGGCGCGGGAATACGTACGGATATCAAGTTCCGCGAATGTCATCTGTCCCAAGTTGTGAACAGTTTTCAGAGAGCGAAGCTCCAGGAAAACTGCAAGGCTGAAGAACAGATCATGTACACGGATAAGTATGCATGTATATTTTAACGCTGACTGGAGGCTGTTGTATTCATTATATTTCAAATAATTTAGCAACGTGCAGGAAAAATGTTTACGAACAGCTTTCAGTTTGCTGCATGGGATATTTACTTTTCAATGTTCTCCGGTTCGACGTCCCGTCTTCTGCAGCAAGGTATAAATAGTCTATCATTTTGAATTGAATTCAAAAGAACACTTTCACTGTGGTAGACGAACATTCGAAGATTAGGGAATATCACTTGAGGTTTATCACGGGGATATTTTCCAGTTTTAGTTGGTTGCTAGGGCATATTCGATCACCCTATGTGTTTAAACCCACCGTTCAGACACACCGTGTCAAAAAAAGTTATTTGATGGACACACTTCGCAAGTGACAAAGTCGCTGTTGGTTTAAGATTTGCGTCTGATTGGTTGGAAAAGAGGCCGAGTTTTTTAGACCAAGGACACAGCGAAGCAAAGCAAAACCAAAGCAGTCCTGGACAAGTTTCTACACTCTGTTGAAAATTGCATTATCAGTAATCTAAGAATCTCTAAAAATACTATAAAACAGTTTCTCTCTCAACCACCAGAAGTTCCTTGCTTGTTCTTAAAGCGCAGTGAAGCTTGCAAAGTTTATTGGTGAGAATGTGCTCCTCTTCCAGCATCGGCTGTGATTCTGTATTTTTGTAAACAGAGTCAGATGCCGTTTCAGCTTCAGAAATATTCAAAGAAGTGTCGTTTTTAAATCCCAATTGCCTCCTTGCTATAGACTGCTTTCGAATCATACAGTTCACCCCAAAAATCATGAGCGAAGAAAATAACGCCACAGAACCGGCTATATAAAATGCTTCATCATAGGTACCGAATACTTCATGCAGCCAACCTGAAAACAGAGAGCAAACTTCAGGTTAGTCTGGACCCTTTTCATTTGAACGGCTGAATCGAATCAGTCTTAGCAACAGAAACAAAGATAAAGAACTCGCTTTGCTTTGCATCTAATTGACTGAGAGGGTGGAGCAAATTCTTTAGATCAATTACGGACCCTATAAGAGCAATCCCGGATTACAATAGACATTTGATTGAAAATTTCACTATCTTTCACACAGCTGATTACCTGCAAGCGGAGGACCAAGACTCATTGGTATCGCCAGAGTTCCAAACATGTTTCCCACTGCTTGAGAAAGCTTATCGCGTCCGACCACATCAGCCGTAATCACCGCCACTTGGCCCACAAAACATCCGTCAAAAAATCCAAATATCAAAGCATAACCCACAAGTCCTGCATAGTTTTTGAGCAGAGGACACAGGAGAGTGCTCAATCCAATGGAAAATATCGAAAATTGGTACAGGTAGAGCCTGTTGACGAATTTAAAGTCGGAAATCTTGCCAAATACCACTCGACCAAGCGTTGAGGTGATGGATAGAAAACCAATCAGCCAAGCGCCTTTAGATTTTGGAACTCCTAAATCTTCGGCATACCTCACCTGCAGATAATAACGAAACGAATAAGGGTGATAAGTTTCAACAAAAAACTGTGGTGCCGCGTCGGTAGAGGGCATTTTAAAATAACTTGGTCTAATCTACTCAGTCGATAATGTAAATAGTCCACCGAAGAGAGTTTCTAAAGCTGGGGTTTCGAGCGGTGGCCCTTAATTCTTCATGAGGCTTTCAGCTTTAGAAATTATCCACCTAACTTATCTTTAAACGATGATTTAGTCATGAGATTGAATTAGGAAGATCCCGAATGGCAGTCTATAACCTTTTATGTATTTGTCACCGACCAATCAGGAAAGAGAAATTTTGTTGCGTATTAAACAAATAGCGATACAACTTACCAGGTGAATAAATGGAATGAGATAACCAAATTGAAACACAGCTACAGTAGTGACCCACAAAACGTACGCTTTACTCTTCCATATTGAAGTATCAAATAACTTGGTACATCTTCTTTCCTCGGTAGACTGAAGATTTTTCTTTGGTTTAAAGATCATAGCTGCAATCCATAACAGTCCAGCAAACGCGCTCAAAATGCGCATGGAGTGTTTCCATCCGACAGATGCCAGTAGGTAATTTATGACCGGCCCGGCAACAAGAGAGCCTACCCCACTTCCGGATGTTGCAATCCCATTGGCAAGCGCCAATCTTCTATCAAAGTATTCACCCAGGACAACGATGGACGACACAAAGGAGAAACTAGAACCTACTCCCCATACAAGCCCGTAGGTAACATACATCTTATGAACTTCTTGTATGAAGGAGGTTAGGAACAACCCTGAGACGGATAGTAACGCACCAGCCAAGGACACAACACGGCATCCAAAACGGTCACACAGTGCACTTGATATAGGACCAAAAAAGAAGTTTAAACCCATGGCCATGGCGCCAATCCATGCTGTGAGGAGAAATCAAAAACATAATCTCCATGTGTAAATATGTAAATGTTTTAGTCACGGACGTGGAGCGGAGGGAAATTTTTGTGTTCCCCCACGCTGAATCGATTCCAGACCTTACGCATACCATCGTCCATTGCATCACACTCAAAAAGCATTTCAATGTAAACGCTATGTATCTTTGCCTCTAAAATCTTCACGTTCTTATCCTTAAAAGTCTTTAAATCTACATTGGACAAGAATTGGAGGAGCACTATATACAGGATATCAAGGAATAAGTAAAATAAGAACCTTGAAGGGAAAGGCGCGAACAGAACGCTAAGACCCATGGGAACTAACACCCAAGAAAATTGAGGAGTCTGCCCTCTTTCATCCTTTCACTCCCAAGATTAAAAAAACAAATCTCCTCATTGTCAACCTTCCATTTCTTGTACATGCAATTTTATAGATCTGAAAAATTGGTTCTTCATCAATATAATATATCCCATAGTTGATATTTTTGTCGCCTCTCATGAACTTTCTACGTGTTGACATTGTAAGAAGATATTTATTATTTAGCAGCATGGGAATGAAAGAGTTAACCCTCATATTTCAAATCTGTCTCAATCACTTTGAATGCAATCGGCACCAAACGACAAAAAAATCTTTTCTTCTTCATGACGAAGTTGAACTGTTTTGAAAAGTGATTTGTTTGTTCGCGCAAAGGAAAGGTATTTACTTGCGCTGCTTCGTAAGCGAGATACAGCGGTTCTGGTTGGTTACTTAAGTTTGCTACAAGGGCACATCTTGTCAGCCAAGGCTTGCTCACTTTGTTCTTGACAACAAAACGGAGAAAAATAAATACCTTTAGCTTGATCAAAGTCTTCATGACGTCCAATGTTTTTTTTTTAAGAAGTTGAAGAAAAGAAAATATGCGGCAACGACTGTTTTTACATCCATGTAG